GTATTCTATTATAAATGGACATAGTTTTTCTGCCAGTTAATATTACATACAATCTGCAGTTAAAGTTTCTAAAATTTTGAAAACAATCCTGGATATCTACCAAACTAGTACCTTGTTTATGGTCAAAAGCTAGTATCTAGAAGGAAATTTTGTAAAAATATATTTCCTTTTTTTTTGTATGTTACTTAATTATGTACGTAGTTTTCTTCCAGTTAACATTACATACAATCTGCAGTTAAAGTTTATAAAACATTTATTAGCTCCACAAAGTAGGCAAGACACTGGGTTCCTCGGAACCTTAACATATTTTTTTCATTATTTCATAATAAATTGACATTCTGCAAACATTTTTTGTATTGAATAAATCGGTTAGAAAATTGCTATGAATATATATTTTTTTCCATTGTTTCAAAATAAAGTGACATTCTGACATTCTGACAACGGTTTTCGTGTTGAGTAAATCTAAATAAAGTTTTGGGTAGTGTATTTGTATTGCTATAAAATAAAATGCATTGTTTTTTAATAAAGGCCTTTCCGTTTTTTAAATTGTCAGCATTGCAGCCATCGGTCTTAACCACCATGTTCTTTGTCTGCTGTGTGTGAATAAATACTGTCTCCATGTCATTGCCCATCTTCATTCTGATCTTTTTCACATAATTTGTGTCATGTCGTGATGACTCTATGACTAGGAATGCTTATGTCCATATCATAATGTACATAGAAGTGAAACTGTTATCATTTATCAGCAAAAAGTTCAGGTTTGGCAATTAAACCCAAAAAAGACTAGATTGTACAGCAATTTATATTGCCATACAAGATCATTTATTATGATAAGGTATTATTTTGATTATATAAAAGTAGACGCAATTTATCGAGATTTCATTCCAAATCATGAACTATAAAAAATCTTCTGAAAGTGTTACTGCATCTTGAAAATATAACATTATGACACTATTCCTATTCAAGTTATCAAAACAAATGCATTACAACACGTTCAACTCTTTAAGTTTAAAACACTGCTCCCGTTTCGGCAATATGCTAATAAGCTTATATGTAGACGAGATCATCCTTTGCAGCAGCACGGCTTCGTGTCGGACTATCGAACTGTCGGGTTGACGGACTGTCGGATTTTCGGAACTTAGTACTATCGGACTGTCGGACTACTGGACTGTCGGAAATTCGGATTGTCGGATTATAGCTACGCTCCCGTTTTTATAAGGCAAATTGAATTTAATATGTTTTTTTGTAATTTTGTTTCAGATATCTTCCAACAGGAGACTTGAATCGGATAACCATTGCTAAATGAATCTTGATAGATATATACATATATATATATAAAGGCATGAAATCTATGGTTGGTTCCAAATCTATGGCAGATTCAAAATCTATGGCAAATGTGACATCATGCCATCCCAAATCTATGGCAGATTTTTTACAATCCTAATCTATGGCAAGTTTTGTAATTTCCTAATCTATGGCGGATTTTTGTTGTTTCCATATCTATGTCAAATGTTATGCAAATGGAAAACAAAGCAGTACATATACGACCAATGACTCGTCTTAAACCAGTGGAAAGGTCTATAAACATTTGTGAAATAAACTTTCCATAATTCAACCTAATCATGATGTGTCCCGTATACATAATAAAATTAATAAAAATGAACAGTTTGAATTTTCACATAATATTTATTTCATCGTTTATAACTCTTTTATTTGATGACGATTTAAATCAAATTGGTATCCGGTTATTTTGTCTATCATGTTATAAACTTTGCCAGCGGTAGACGGTAAAATATTTACTACAACTCCTTTTCTAAAATATACGGCGCCCTTATTCATCGCGGTATTCTGACAATACATCACATTTTGACCCTCTTCCGGATAATAGGTCACATCTTTCTTTAAACAATCCGCACATTGATGCAGAGGGAAATAACTTCATCTGGAATGGTGATCAAATCTATGAGTTCAGCCATCGTTAGCGACGGCGACGATGTAATATGGCGTATGTGACGTTATATGTTACTCTTTCCCCCTGAAAATTACACAATTTAAAGTAACGTCTCATTTGCCATAGATTAGGAATCTGCCATAGATTTGGAACCCACCATAAATTTGAGTCCTACATATATATATACATAATATAAATCTAAAGATTTGCACAACAGTACTTATATAAAATGGTATTATACGTTGTTATTAAATCGTGTTGACAAATATTTCGGCTTAACAAATAGCCTTCGTCAGTGTCAATAGTTTTAACAATTTTGATTGTATATGTAGAATAGCTTAGTAATACAGGTAAGTTTTGGTCTATTGATCTAATCTAAAATCTTGAACATCATAATATAAAACAAAACTCGATACTCTAATATACGTGACTGTGTATATTTATAAAACAAAACTCGATACTCAAATATACGTGACTGTGTATATTTACATTTCAAAATGAGTGAAAAATAAAACTGTCAGTATTTCTTATTAATGCCGTTAGGATGATGTACATTTAGTTCCTTTATCCAAGATGCTTTCCCAAACTTTTATAGACTTCTATATGTACATAATGTATATAAAGTGCCTAGAAAATCAACCTAACAATTTTAGAATAGATTTAATTCTTTACTTCCTTCCCGGCTTGGGCTGGAACATGTACTTTTTACTTCATACTTCTACAATAAAACTGCCTAGCTTTGAGCAGATGCCTTATCCCCTTATTCAATTATAGCTGATATAAAATCATCTGTCGTTTCGGGAGGTGTTACCTTCTCGTGAATTAAACAAGGACATCTAGACACAATACACAAAGTATTTTTAAGTGTACAGAAATGAACGTCTACTCATCTCTTCAGTATATTTACAGAATATGTATATACATACTTTAGTTATATCATTCCAAGCAGTATTGAAGAACCCTGTGTCTAGTTTGCCATCATTCAAATGAGCCAGGTAATTCCTGTAGTGTTTGATCCTTGTGAAGTCTGCAGCTGGTGTGGTTTCCATTGCAGAAGGTAGACGGTCAAATCCACAAAGAGGAGGGGTCATTGGAGTCAAGTTCCTCAGTAATAATATCATCAAAGTCACATCGAATGTTTTAGAATCTGGTACATCTAGAAAATACAATAAGTAATAAAGATAATAAAAGTAAAGGCAAATAGCAAGTTTGTTAATTAATACATTTTTAACCAAATCAATACTTGGAAATATTCTTACTTAAAAATTGTATTGTGAGGCCATCATGTTCATTGATTACAGTTGTGAATAAGCGATTCAAAGGAACATAAATTTAACAGTTTTGAAAAAAAATTACCACAAATTTAATACCACTATTCAGAGGCGGGTAACTGGGGCTCAAGATGCTCACAAACATGTTTAACCTATCTATTCAAAGGAGGTTAACTAGCACTCACCATGCTCGCAAACATGTTTAACAAATCTAAAAGCCAGGAACAAGAATATAAACCAAGCTGCTACTATTTCTTTTGAATTCTGTACTTTTTTTTATCATTAGACCTATTAACGCTTTTTATGGAATGTGGCAATATGGTTTCATGATGCTTGATAAGATAATCAAATAAACACAATTTGTGTATCACTTTTCGTATCATATTCAGATAAGTGTGATTTGAGGAGGGGGAGGGGGATATATATAGGTTCTAGCTTAAATTAATGTAATTACAGACAATTGTGAAATAAAAGGGGAATGTGTCCATGGAACACAGATGATGCCCTTGCTTGCATATCATATAAAATTATAAAGGGACATAACCGAAGAACGGTAAAAGTGACTCTACCAAAATTTGTATTTGATCTGAGTTTTGTGGTAATAAGTATTATGTTTAAGTTTCAAAAAATTTGGTTGAGGAAAGCTTAGGTTAGAGAACCGTAAGAATAGAAACGAAAATTCAGCAATTTTTCCATTTGTAAAGAGCATAATTCTTGAACACCCCCAAAATTCGAACTTGATCTGTATGTTGTGGTAATAGGCATTGTATATAAGTTTCATAACATTTGGTTGAGACTAACTTAAGTTAGAGAACAGAAACGAAAAATTCATCATTTTTTTTCATTTTTAAAGGGACATATGATGACTCTAGAATGGTAAAAGTGACACCACCAAAATTCAAAATTGATATGTATTATTGTGGTAATAAGCATTAAGTATAAGTTTCATTACATTTGGTTGAGGCTAATTTAAGTTACAAAACGGAAATGAAAAATTCGGAAGGGGGGCATAAAAAACTATATCTACATTTGGTTGAAATCTGTACGATTTTGTAAAATTTTGCCCTATCTGGGATGTAAAAATCAACACTCCAGAATAAAACTTTTCAAAAATACTTCTATTTAGTTTCCTCACATATCTTTTCGTCAACTTAAACATAACTCTAGAAATGTAAAAATGACACCACCAACATTCAAACATACTGTGTGTTTTTAAGTTATAAGCATTGTGTTTAAGTTTTCTATCATTTTGTTGAGGCAAACTAAAGTTAGAGAACAGAAACTCAAAATTCAGCAATAACTCTAAATAAAACAGTAAAAGTGACGCCACCAAAATTCAATCTTGATTGGGATTATTTTGTTGTTTTAAGCTTTGTGCATAAGTTTCATAGCATTTGGCTGAGGCAAACTAAGGTTAGAGAGGGTAAAGGGGCATAAATCTAGAGCTATAAAACATTTGTAAAAGGGATGCCAGGCCAATTAAAACTTGAGCAATTTTGTTGTGGTAATAAGCATTTTGTATAAATTTCATAACATTTGGTTCAGGCTAACTAAAGTTAGAGTACTGAAATCAATTTCGGGATATACAGAGGGAGGAATGAAAGGAAGGACAGACAGATTGACATGGACAGGCAACGGTATACCATAATGCGTTCTGAAACAGAAGGTTTGGCTATGAACAATATATATAAACATGATAAAGCACAGTTTTGTTTATACTTTTTGGGAATCTAGGAAAGGGAAACATTTTATTATGAAATAAAAATTTCAGTACTTACCGGGAAATCTAGGACACAGAAGGTTCCACTGTGATTGGTTGATTCTATGCTTCTTTTTTAAGTCAAGCAATTTGTTATACTCCTTCTTTATTGTAGCATCTAAACATGCTGGAGCAAATTCACTATCAAAGAAAGTTCTAGCTGCACGAGGAGAAATTCCAGTTAATAACAAACTCATTCGAACATAGTTTTCTTCCTCTACAGAAAGGGATGCCATAGTTAAGTCTCCTTTATTCCTTTCCTTACTATTGACAGAATTCTATCCAGCAAAAGATATTAATTACAAACTTTCAAATCATAGTTATTCACTATATGACAATAATTCCTGGCATTTAAGTTGGATTAAATCTTGCTTGGCGTCCATCACATGAAGAAAACCACTTTGAAATCTGGTATATTTACTGTAAAATAAAATATAAATGAATTGAAATGTCTGAACAGATCTTTTGGATGTTTAATGTATAGTTCCTCATATTTTTATTCATCTCCTTGAAGTGTATTTTGCATATAAGAAAGTAAATGATATCCAAATACATATTAAGAGTTCATACAATTTTAAAGGGCACTAACTCCTAATGTGGAGCCAATTGATGGTTGAGTTATATTCATATTTGGTAGATCTTGTCAATATATTGAACAACAGATTTGTAAAGGAGTAGTTGGTATATGCTATGGGTTTTCATCATTGTTGAAGGATGTACGGTAACACATAGTTACTAGCTCCCACGTTATTTAGTCTCTGGTGGAAAGTTGCCTCTTTGTCAATCATACCACATCTTCGTATTTATTCAAAGTTCACATTTAAGTCATCACAATCATTTTGGAAATTTTATATATCTTCGTGTACTAATGATAATTTTGCTGTTTTCCATGTTTACATTTTGGATATACTTTTTATTTTTATGATTTTGAAAGATTTGATATGCTACAATTAATTTGTCAAATATATTAAAAGGCCATTCACTACGAATGAGACAAAAAGTTAAAATATGATTATTTTTTGGTTTCTAAAAAAGCTGAATAGAGATATAACATTTCACTAAGAGCAGTTAGATTGGTTCAATATCGTCAAGATAAGCAAAAACAATAACAGATGTTTTATTAGTTTGCAGGTAAGGTAATCTTGATGGATAGTTAAATGGTGTCTAGTCTAACATGTCTAAAATACACACAAAATACTGAAACTGATTTTATATTTAGTCTGATTCTTGATAATGGTTGATGTAGCGAGTAAGCAATCTTTACATCTGTCATGTAGCAACTTTATGTTTGTCGATACTTCGAAATTGAGCAACTCTAATTTCAAATGGAAAATTTTTGTCAAATTTTTCTTGATATCAGAAATGATTAAGTTATGCTCCAGTATACACATTACCTCAATCAATTACATGCAGCGACGCAGGTCCAGACGCGGTGAACAGACTTATAAAAATGAAGAAAAGATATAAAAGTTTGAAAGTCAGAACTTTTCCAGTTTTTTCAGTCTGTAGCAACAGTAATTGCTTGGAACTATCTATGTTTTAAAGACAAAATATTTCAACGCAGTAAATGAAATAAGTACCTAATTGTTGTTCAATTGTTGGATTTTAAGCATTAGACAGTAAAACATTTTTGGATGTCTATGGTCCACATTACTTCAAATACTTTTTTTTTCACTTATTGCGATATGCAGTCAATAATTTAGAAATTTAAAAATAATTCATTTCAAACGTGTAAAGAAAATTTAAAAAATGTTTGGATTAAAAAATGCAAAATGAGATAAAAATATTTAAAAATTCTGAAAATCTGAAAATTTCCAATCTTCCTCGTACGCTGACTATAAAAACTGCTTCAAACAAACCAAATGTAGCAAAATATATTCAATTTAAGAATAACTTTCATAATACTTTTGATTGTACAATTAATGTCTATATTTCTTGTCTTGGAAAACTTATAATATCCGTTTGTTTTCGCATTTTTGTAAATTTTTCATGGGGAGATTTGTATAATTATTCCAATTGTAAGAAGAGTTGTGAACAATAAAGCTAAAAACTAGGTACTATTTAGAAAACTTTCATTCTAATATGACGTCCTTATTTCTCTTTGTAAACAAAGCCGTGTTCTAATGAGCATAACATATGTTTGACACATACGCACACCTGATTGTTTACATTCTCGTTAATTTCATTTTTATCCTAATAAAATAAATATTTTTTAGTAACTTACATAAAACTAAATTATATATTGTTATTTAAACATCATATATCTAACCTGCTATTAGTGTTTAAACTTATTAAGTATGAAAATGAAATGTATATAATTCATGAAGAGGAAACGGGAACAGCCAAATATTCCTACGGTATTTTTGTACGATTCGACCTATAAAAATACTGTATGTGTCCTATTAGAATCGAAATAATTCCTTCATGTCATGATCTATGCTCATTTTAACATGGGTATGCATTATATTTGACCATATTTTACACCTCACTAACGCTCAGTGTAAAATATCGACAAATTGAATGCCTACCCATGTTAAAATGGGCATAGAGCATGACATGAAGGAATTATTTCTTAATTTGAGTATGAACTGAGCTCTTGCATAATTGTAGACATCATCACGTGTATAGTGTTGTATTTCCAAGACATTTTGTCAGCCAAATTTAAATAGGCGTCATTTCAGAAAATGATCATTAGCATCATAACTTACACTGTGCAAAGTGCCATGCTTCTACCGTACAGTGATCAATTATCTTAGTACATATCTACTGGACTATCTTTCTTGTAAAATTGACTTTATATGAATATTGGCAATTCTTTATATATTCCTTATTGTCATACATATAGCTCTTGACTCGTTCGGGCGATTAAAATTCTATTGGTTCTAATATTTTGGGTAAAAGCGTAAATGATGAAGGACAATAAAAAAAAAACGTTTCGAACGCATCGTAAACTGTCATTTTCATTTTCTAGCTCTTCTTCAAAACCTCTGCAGGTTTTTTTTTTAGTTCAGGGGGTATTTTAGGTCTGTGAGCATTGATTCGATACTGGAAGGATTTATAACTCTTACATTCTCTATTGATAAGTTTATTAAATATTTTTTATTTATCAGTAAGAATCACAACACTGTAATCTAAGGAAATACATACATAGTTATGATTTGATTTGATTTTCTGTGTTTTAACGCCACTTTTAAGCACAGCTTCGTTGCAGCCAGTTTTTATTGGTGGTGGACGCCGGAGTGCCCGGAGAAAACCGACCTTCGATAGAAAAACTGACAATCCTAGTCAATTAGGATTGGAGTCGAGTGCACCCGTACGTAAGGGGTTCGAACTCACAACCTCAGTGGTGACTGGCTAGTGATTACAGTAATAACTACTTAGACAACTCGACCACAAAGCCCCCTCCCCCCCCCCCCCCGCCCCCATACATAGTTATGTATTACATAAATAACCAAAACAGTCTTCCGTTTAAAGGTTTACTGTCTTTTTGTAATACTGAACTATAAAAATATATCCCTATGCATCCCATTTATTTGTGTCAAATTGACCCATATCATATGATATGTAACTATTTTGATAATTTGTTAAAATGTTAACTATTTTAATAATTTTTCAAACTGCTAGATATTTTGAGCTTTACGCATTGGTAGAACATATTTAATGGTTCTATTGTCATGTTATATATATTTAGTGTACTATATACTTAACCTAACGTAACAATATCTTTATTGAATATTTGCTGTAACAATAGACTAAGTTTACAGCTTTTGACTTAGTATCCCTTAATAGTTAAAGGAAACACTATTTAGTAATATATAAGTTCTTCATAATATCTGTATTTATTCTATAATTCAATCCATAAATGTATTTGGTCTCTTGAATCTTGATAAATATTTCAAACATATTTCGAGGGAAATAATACCGCTGTTCAAAAGTCATTTCGATTTCGATTGAGAGAAAACAAATCCGGGTTACACGCTAAAACCGTAAAACACATCAACTATAAGAGAAAAACAAAGGAACAACAGAAACACTTAAGTGCAACATAAGACAAACAACAACATACATAGTAACGGACTATTTGATAACAACTGCAATATTCCTGACTTGATACAGGACATTTCAAGAAAAAAATGGTGGGTTGAACCTGGTTTTATGGCTAGCCAAACCTCCTCCTTATATGGCAATGTAAACAAATATCGCTAAAATATGACAACACTGCGTGACAGGAATACAGTACAAACAAACGCAAGAACACTAAGCACAGAGAAACGCATAAAAAAATAATATAATGGTATATTTCAACATGTAAACCACAGAATAACAAGGGAAAACTTCATAGCACACCACAAACAGTGACGTATTTTGTGACGTATATATAAATCTTGATTTTTTTATAATCATATGAAAAGGGTTAAATTATGTGAAACGAGATAAAAAAAAAATGTCATTATTTAGTTAAGACACAGACACATCGTGTAGATCAACCAATTTTTGACGACGTCCATAAAATTTACGGAGTGTCATTTTTAATCTTTCCTCCTCATAACTATTGGAGCAGATTCTGCGTAAGGAGCACAGTCCTGTAATTAAAATCCGTATGGTGAGAACATGCACGAGCATAACGTATCAATTGAGATATGTAAACACCAAACGACGGAGCAGAGGGTATGTGTCTGCTGAGAAATGGGAAATTGACAGTTGGGAAGTTGAAATTATCGCGTTTGTCATAAATTTTAGTGTGAAATCGTCCATCTGTGTCAATATTGAGGAAGAGATCAAGGTTTGAAGCAGTAGTATCCTTAATTTAAAGTTCACTTGGATATATGACATGTAAGTGCTGACTGAAATATGGGTTATTCAATGCCATTTGATATGGGACCTTCCGTTTTGACTTTTCCTTCGAGTTCGATATTTTTGTTAATTTAGTTTTTGTACATGATCATAATAAATACCATGTATTTCAATTCAGCACAAGTTTGCAAATGTAATAATTTTTAGATGCCACGTCAGATAAAAATAATAACGACGCCGATTTAATCTGAGGGGTTGTTATACCACAAGATAAATTATTTTGGAATTTGAAAAAAAAGGTTTATTGACATTTATAAGTTTTTGGAAATCAAACGTTATAAACATGTGTATGTCGTATCAGATTAAACAAAAAACTTGACTCAAGTTACAGGTCAATATAATTTTTTTTTTATCTTAACATATACCTTTTACGTCGCAAAAACAGAAGACTACGTACTCACGTATTTTTAAGTTGTTCTGA